GTTACTACACATTCAGATAGCGTATTTGCACAGTGCCTCCATTACTGACTGAATAATTGGCATTTTAATGCGCCCTTGATGGAGCTTAGGGAGATAAGGAACTTCAGGCAAAACCGACAGAAGTGAGCAACTTCATTGTTTATTTATTTCCATAGTTTACATACTAATGTCCTCAAAGCCTTCACTGGGCATACCTACTACAAAAAGGCATATCTCACCCACCTTCTTACGAACAATGCAAACACATTTTTAAGCGTTCTTCCCTCGCTGCTAACTGTACTGCTTCCCTCCTGCTTCCTCACCGTCTTACACTTACTTTCCATTCACCAAAGCACAGCATTTCACACAGAATATGACTGAACACGTTTTGGGTAAGATTTGCTGATAACATGTTCAAAAAAGCTCCATGAAAATTCACCTTTACTATGGATAACAAGCACGCAAGGAGAGCGAGCTCACAGGAAGCATTTGTGCACATTACCAATCTATTTAGTTCTCTGTTATGGAATGTGGAATAAATAGAGTAACATTAATCCCATTCCTGACTGTTTTTAAAGAATAACTTCCCCATCCAGTTTAAACCTCATGTTTACATTTATACAACCATATAAAACCAAGGGCTAGATTACAGTACCATTCCTAAAATCCCTCCAAAACCTCCTTTCCTTTCACTTGCTATTTAGCGGCAAGGTTAAAAGGAGTCTTACCCAGAACACAAAGGATTTAAAATAATCTAAACTACTTCAATTTGCTCTAAGCTTTAAACACAAGCAGAAGTCAGTAGATTCATGCGTAACATCTATAATGAGAATCTTGTTTTCCAATGTGCATTTTACCTGGTGAGATTCTATAGTTTCAACTCAGTAAAGTATGTTAAACTTCACCCAGCACCCTGCTCCAAAAAATACAAGCAAGTATCCTTACGCTAAAAACTATTTTAAAGTACTTCTCCACATCACTTCAGTTTCAAAGAACTGCATATACTTACAAAGGTGTCTGTGATTCTATGATACTTTATTCTTTCCACGTCAGAGGAAAATGCATTAGAATACAAGTCTGGTTTTTACAAGATTGTTTTCTTGAAGATTAAATTAACTGCACTGCAACTAACTATAACAAGACACTTCCAATTTATTTTCAAAAAGAGAGCGCAACTTCTTTAGCATATAGTAAAAAAAGGTGATGGTGACAGGCATAAGGTCAAAAGATTCTACTCTTGTAAGCTTTCCTTCACACTTCAGACAGCATTGCTACAACTTTTCTTCGAAAGTATGATAAGCAGATGTACAAATTGCTCCATATTTGACACGATGCTGTTAAAAAGCATTTGTTTTCTGCCCTCTTCTCCCTTTACATTTCCTCATTCAAATAAAACTGACCTTTTTCATGTCACTGGAAAAAAAAAGCACTGTAATGATATGCACCAAGTGATGCCACATGTGAAAAAGCATCTTATTTCTTAATTAACAAAATAAGAAAAGCAGCAGGAAAAAAAGTGCTACTTAACAGGTGAATTGGGATGTAACCTTACATCAGTCCTGATCCACAACAATTTTTCACTGATGTTGTCGACAGTAATTCCACGCCAAATTCCCAAAAGGAAGGAAAAGAAGTACATGTTACTAAATTTCCTCCTGGAAAAATTCAAGAACACATTCTTTATGTTTTTACTGTAAAGGATATGTTCAACACAAACAAAAACTGAGTGATGCACAGGCAATTTCCTACAAGGTAAACGCCTACAAAACAATGCCAAGGAAAGGCACTAATCAAGAATACAAAGGGAAGAGCACTGAAGATTCTACTACTTTCTTACATGTGAAAATAACATTGTTTTTAAAAGCATAATAAGAACAGAACTACACAGCAGTAGAACTAATTCAAATTTAAAACCCAAGTTTAGATTTGGGAATTACAACTTTTGCAAGAAGTTACTCCTGACTTTGCTTTATTAAAAGAGATGGGAGGGTAGGTTAGAGCAGCAAGAAGGAAATCAGTTTTAAAAGCAATGCAGTCACAACTGTAACACTGATGTTAATAGCTGAAGGGCAAGACTATTAAACTGAATTCACCTTTCTGCCCCAAGATTAGGAAAACCCAGCTTAGAATGCCATGTTAATAACATGAAGAGACTAGGAGGAGAAAATAATTGTCTGTATCATTCATTTTTACTGCCCTCTAAATGCAAATCACATTCAAGAAAGCTTTTTTTCTTTTTTGAAGTTTTTCTTCCATAAGATAACACTATCAGTAGACATTGCTCCATCATCTTCTAGATGAAATAAATCAAAGCACTTCTTTTCACCATCTCCAAACTTTCAATAACCATACGTGTACTTGCCATACCTTGCGCTGGAACAGTTTCAACCTGTATCAAGTAACAGATTTATTTAGGCTTAAGCCTACACACAACATAGCCTACTTGGTTTCTTTCCCCACTTTGCCAGAACTTTTTGATGTCACAAACTTCTAAACAGAACTCTCATCATTAATTCTCAGTCAGAAACGTAAGGCACTATGAATCACCGCAGTGACTGCACTGATGTCAGCACTACTCTCACAGTGCTTCAGAAATTGAGGGGGAACCTAAAGCAACTGAAAGCTTTTAGCTCCACTACCACTGACTTGCTTCTTGCACTACAAGTCTTTCATTCATACAATTTCATTACATGAAAGTGCAAAGTGAAAGGGTTAAGTTGGCATAACATTTCACAAGCCAGAAATATTTCAGCATTCCACGTGTATAACCTCACAGCCTCAGCTCCACTCCATAGCCTCAGAGGAGGGACATCACACTGGCTGGAGCTTTAATATTTCACATTTCATTAGAAACTGATCAAACAGTGACAATTATGCCTCCTGTAACTGTCCATAGCGCAAGTGTTAGGCCCTCAGAGTTTATTCATTGGATATTACATGTCAAGAGTACTTGGCTGTGAACAACAGTACGGATAACACATGTCGTACTTTACCATCTTCCTCAAGAAACGCACTGGACGATATAAAGAAATTATTTATTACACAAAACATTTCCCCATCCTGTGAAAATTAAATTATTGAATCACATTCTCCCCATGTAACAACTGATAATAATTGTTTCTCCCAAAACAAGAACTGAAAGTGAGAACAGAAATAAAGGCTTTGTTGCAGTCTCTATAGTGCTATTTTAACTCGCGTTGCCAAGCCACAGCTATCCATACAACAGATTCCTACAATTACTAGGAAGTGAGCATTTCTCTCCATTAGGAAGTAGTTGTGTTTAGTTGGTTGATTTTGTTTGTTTTTAGTGTTTTGGGTGTTTTTTTCCCCCAACCTCTTCCTAGAACTTATTTACCACTATGACTGCATTTCAGCATCCACGCTACTTTAATAACTCAGTTATGGATAGCCAAAGCCACAAAAATGCAAAGACTGAGACCAAAGTGTGACTTCATATTTACTGTACTCTCTGAGTGATGGAAGTAAAATCAGAAACCTGTTTTTCAGAATCTTTTGGAAACATAGCCCATGTTATTCTCCATGAACAAATGTGCCTCAGCACTCTGAGCTGTAACTTTCAGCTCTGTATGAAGCTATATATAGCTGTGGTCTTGAAGGTAAATAATTTAAAGCACTGAATATACTAATACGTATTTTATAATGTAAGTTTAAAAGTTCCAATAGGACATGCACCTTATCTTCCACTATCTCACTGCTGATCATGTGAACTGGTAGTCAATTTAAGTTGCTCCGTGGCATCGAGGCAAGCTAATTTTGAAATTACCATGGGCCCCCAGAGCTTCCTAGAGAATTCTGAAGCTGCTTGCTGTGAGACACAGCTGTATGCAGAGGCTCACGCTGGTTTTAGAGAATAAATCATCTTCAAGAGAGGCATGCCATCACAACAGCAAAAACCTCAGTTTTTGTTGAATTAGAATTCTCATTAAAAAATCATTTTCTTTATTATCCTTACATGTTCTTTACTAGACTTATTGTTCCAGTACCAAAACATGCTATAATTTTTTAGTAAACAAACTTTCTAGAGAAATGTTTATCATTATCTACTTCTTTCCTTAGGAAAGGCATTTCTTATTGCAGACTAAAAAACAGCAATTCTTCAAGCACAACAGATAACAACAGATGTACATAGGTATCTAGGTGGGACATTGACACATAACTATGTTTGTTTTTTTTTCCTATGCACACATTTTAAAATGCCTCCCATCTTCAAAAGGTGTAAGCTGTTGACCCCAGCAGCCAACCTAATTCAGTTCAGTTACTCACACAATAGCAATAAGAGTCAGGGACTGCTAAGTCAGTTTAATTGTGGGGGGATTTCTGTATCTGAATGCTTTTCTGTTGTTATAACACAAATGAGAACAAATTTCCAGATGTCTCAGTGTTATTCACTTTTCTTCTAGTAACCCACAAGATGCATCTTCCAGTTCTAAAGTGTTGTTATAAAGCATACAGTTGTAATTATTACTAATACATAAAACCTGTAGAGAACTAATAAATGTCAAATATAAGACAATTGTGGTGCAATTCATCATGATAAAAGCAAGCAACACAGCTCCAATTTGTCTATTAGGTATCTATAACTGACACACATTTACTTGGTCTCGACACAAGGAAATACTCCAGAATACTCATTTATAAGTGCATAGTCTAGTCCAATGAAAACAGAATCTAAAGATTTGCCTGAAGCAGGATGTTTTGGTTTTGTTAAAGTTTTAAAATAACTATATAATAAATGACAAAATTATTTCATTTTTCCATCTCCCTTAATAAAAAAACATTAGTTTCAATGCTAAAAAATTCATAGCTTCCATCGATTAAACTAATTGCTTTCTCGATGGACTTGTAATATTCATCTTGTCTTTCACTAAGAGGAATCAAACACAATCCAAAGCACCTGTTTGCCCACACTTACTTTTGTACTTCAATAACTTTAGCAGTTATCTGAGAAGCTGGGAGAAGATGCATCTTTAGAAAAAGGTGTTAAAAGTACATCTCCCTACCTGTTTCTCACTCAGAGCTGTGATTTTGGCTTGAAGTTCATGAAGCTGTTTCTTCAAATCAGCATTCTGATTAGAAAGAAAAAATATCTGTGAGAAAGATATTCCATTTGTTAACATAGAGTAGTAGCAGGAAGGCTTTTTTTTTTTTTTCATATTATACTACAAATGCAGCACCTCTGGATGTACAGCCAATTAAAATCAAGAGGCTCAACAAAGCCTTGCTTAAGTTACTGAGTGCAAAATAACCATCAGAGGACTTTTGTAGCACTCAAAGAGAGTCCGGAACTCAGATTTCATTAAAACATCCATTAGTGCTCACCACAATGTAAAGCACATTTTCACATTCCATCAAGTTTACAAATTAAACAAGAAATGTTTGTCAATATATAATATGACAGTATCATATTGCATGCAATGGTACTTCACCTAAAGCATGTGCTCATCTGTGCTATTTATGCAAAGACATACATTTGATTACGTTGAACACCAGTAACCGTATCTATTAAATCTTAACTGCCACACATGCCAAATGAAGGCCAACATACCTAAGTATTCATTTCCAAATGTTTGTGTGCCTTAGACTATATTTAAGAGAATTACATCTGCCTTAGCACATCATTCATATCAGCACTTTGCTTACAATAGCACTTTAAGATTTGAAAGCAATAAACACCACTATAAAGACGCAGTAAGAAAACAATTTTTACCAGGACTGTTTCTTTTCTGCTAAAAATAATTTAAAAGAACCCAAACAATAATGCACTCAGTTTAAAGACTGTGAAGCTCTGAAGAAGTGTGACAAGGAAGCAAACCTCCCTGCAATTTTATTTTCTTTTCCCTAATTTATGTTGTATACTCTTTACGCTGGATTATGCAGGTTTGCTGTACAACACAACACTAAAACCTAAGACTAATATTGTTACAGAAACTTCATGCTCAAGAAAACTTCTCTGTTCTTATATCCATCTACAAATCTGAAATGCATTAAAATCCCAACTCAGTTATTTGTAGATAGCTTTATCTAATATAAACACGGCCTCAGTGAAACAAGATATTGACTAATCATTCTCCCTTTTCCCTAGATTCTACTTTATACATTTTTATTCCAGAATATTCTTAAGAATTCTGAAACAGTGACCAAAGTTACTCTTAATGATTCCATGAACTTTGCACGGCTGTTTGCAGCCCTGACATCTCTCACTAGACATGAGCAGAAAGCCAACTATGCTGTAATCACCAGCAGACTTGTCTAGAAAGGAGGAGCAGCAAACTTTTAGCAAGTAGATTTTCCAATACAATTTACTATGGGGATGGATGCTCTTACCAGCAAGCCTGAAGTAACTCCCCATTTAGCAAACATGAGTGCTCAATTGCAGGATAAACCGAGTCTCTTTACATAGCCACTGGGAAAGAAGAAGTTTTTGCAGTCTACACAAGGATCCTAATTACCCAGGCTTTGGTAGCTCTGAAACACCACAAGACCAAGTGGCCACGCTTCAAATACTACAGTGCCAAAGCCGGTAATTAAGACAGGCGAACTGAATGAAGTCTTAAGCAATGTTCTTCATTCAGACAAAGTTTCTTGGAAGGAGGATCCTCTTTTGGCTTGTATAATAACTCAGACAAGAAAAACACTACATCTAGAAATTGCAGATTTGGCGAAGAGACATTTCCAGAAGAACCAGAGATGTAATACTTGAGTTGCATTATTGCCTGCAATGGTCCCATGATTTAAAATACTAAGAAAGAAACAAAAGTCTCCAAAAAGAGTTGGTGGATTTTTCTTTGTTGGTGTGTATCTTAAAAGAACAATACAGTCATTTCTTTAAAGATTTGTTCTTAATTGTTTTCTTCTAAAAATTGTGCTAACATGGAAGAACATGATGAAATATCTGAAATTCTCAAACTTGGCGCAGTTATTCTCTCTCTTCTTAGAGATACATAAAACAATACAAAATAGATAGTTACCTGTGGATCTTGCTTCATTTGGGCAACCAGTTTCTAGAAAGAAAGAGATGCAATGATAAAATAAAGACTTATGAAGGATCCCATTGAGCAGTGCAAAACCAACATTTTTGGAGAATCTTTATAAGAAATACACCAAAATACACATTTCATAGTTTTCAATTGCTAGTCCTAATCCATAAGGAATCCAAAATAAATGATTTCTAAACCTATTCTTGTTAACACAGTAAAATTATCACATTAAGTCACCACTTCTCCTCCAAAACTGTTCTTGAATAAATGATACCTTTGTAGGACAATTTAAGCCAGCTGAAGAAACTGATCTTACAGCCATGACTTCTCTAGAACTGCAGCCGCCTTTGCTTGCATTCACAAGAAACACAAATCACAGAGAATCACTGCAAACACAAAAGCTGTTTGTGTACTCAGACATAGAACATTTCAAACACCAAAGGACTCCCTGTGTGTTGGCTTGGCTGGTACCACATGGAAGATCCATGTTCAGAAGTATCTTTGCCACTTTTCTCTCTCAGTCAGAGAGACTGATATCACTGCAGAAAAGATGCCCTCTGCATTCAAGGGAAAGTGGATAGATGGTTACCATTCACTATTCTTTCTCCTTTGCTTCCTTCAAGCAGCTGCAGGAGGATGTTGTCTGTTGATAAGCAGGGAAGTTATCAGGCTGTCACTGAAGACATCTAGAGCCCCAAATGAACAGGCAACAAACCACCCTCACCACTACTCCCAACCCAAATCTCTTCCTTAGTTACAGCTACGTTTTATCACATTACATTGTTCCTAGAACGTGAAAATATGTAGTGCTCCAGCACCAGGAAAAGAAGTGAGGAAGAGAAAGCAAACAAGAAAAATGTTTATTGCCACCTGCATCAATATTACTCAGACAACTCAGATTTGGCCAACGAATTTTTTTGAAGTGTATTCCATTTCACACCCTGGATGTGATACTAATCAGAAAAAGCATAACACACAAATCTGGGTTAGACCACTGGTCTTTCTGCCCTAATATCTTTTCCTAGCCAACAGCAAACATGGCCGTCAGTTGGAATACTGCACAATCATAGTGGTATCTCCCATCTCTCAGAAATTTACAGCTTGGATGACTTCAGTGAAAGATGGTATCTTAAGCTCAACAGCTAGTAACAAACTTTTTTCCATTAATCTGCTCTCATTACTTTCTGAATTAAAGAAAACACTCCAAATTCTGTAACAATATGTTCCAAAGTTAAATGAGAATATTCTTATGTAAAAGGACCTCCTTCTTTTGAACATGCTTCCTGTTAATGCATGCATGAAGGTAACTGAAATTATGGAAAGCCATTCTTGCTGTTTGTCTACTCATTTTCATACTACATCTATTCATGTCTTTCATATTTCAGATTGAGAGCCTCCCTATGCCCTAACCATGCCACTGCTTCGCTCCTTCTTAGCACTGTTCCCTGTACTTCTCTCGTTCTTCTCCATCACTTGCAAACGGGATTAGAACTGCATACAACATTCAAGTACTCTGTATTGCAGGAAATGCCTGCTCAGTGCTAATAGCTAATTCAGTGATGTAAGACGGATGGCTCTTCCAAGGTGCACCACTTTGGCATTTATCTACACTCAGTACCATTTTTTCATCATTCAATGTTATGGGAAGTTGAGGTGCTACACTAGCCTTGTGCTTACACGCTTAACTCAGTTTTCCTCAGTGCGTTCCACATTAGAGCTTGACAAACAAATCTGTTAGCTTTTACACATACAAAGTTACTGTACGTTCTCAATCAAGACGTTACACTTAGTGGCTGTAAACTGTTTTAACATATTTGAGGAACATGTCGTACTGCATTATCCCAGTCACAAGAAAAATGTATGTTAAAATGAAGGTATTTTAAAAGCACACAAATCTTTTTGCTAAGAAATGAAAAGGGAAAGGATAGCTTAGTTTCTTTCTACTCATCAGCTCGAAGACCCATCCACAAAGCCCATCCCTTCTGTGAGAACAGCGAAACACAGCTCCTCTAACACCTCCTGTGATCAAAACTATGAAGAGCAGACTGTTTCAAAATAAGCATAAATAAGTAGCAGAATGAACTACTTAGAGTTGATGGGTCTCTTCTCAGGACAAGTAACACAGCTGGTCATGAAGGCATCTTAAAGTTGTACTCTGACATAGCAAGTGACCTGGACAGACTTCCCTTAAAGATAAAAATGAAACTAAAAGTACCTTCTCCTAAAGAACTGAACACCTAATTCGGTATTTTAAGATGCACTCTGTCAAATAGGGAGCATCAAAGCTTCAGAGTTCTGAAGGTGAACTGGAATAGGCAGGAAATAAGGAGCAATTCTACAAACAAAAATGCAGTCATACCGAGCATCACTTTCTACAGCTATGTAAGCAGTCATGACAAGTGACATGCTGCATCAGGGAGAAAAAGCTGGGAGGCTTTGTTCACACAGTGAAGAGCTGAGCTCCATCACAGACACCTGTCCGCCATGTACAAGAGGAGGACAAAATGTGACTGCGTTTCTCTTGGCAAGCTTTTAAATTGTCCTTGGAAAAAAAATTAAGTAAGTAAAAGACGACAAGCGAGACAACTCTACAGAACATCTGCAGTACTGCCAAAAGAAAGGATATATTGTATTTTTAAATTGAAGAATTGAAATGTATACAATACATTAAAACTAGTTCAAGATGACTTTACGAGGCACCCAACATGTTGCTGTAAGCGTTATTTCCCACTGTAAATGCTTAGACTTGTTTAACCTTAGTAACTGGAATCTACACAGTCTGTAAGAAGTAAACAATCTTCTGATATAACGGCTTGAGGTCTCACCCACTGAAAGAAAACTTAATTAAATTTGATTTAAGTGCAGACCTCACTTTTCATGATGGCTGGGCAAAGCAAAAGCAAGTGAGACCAAAATATCCTTTATGTCATTAAAAGTAAAAAAAAGTAGTCTTCAATTTTTTCTGACCTTCATTCCTTTTCTTCATCGTTACTACAAACAGATGTGAAAGCTTATTAAAATTCTGTGGGGTTTTTTTGTTAGTTTAGGAATAAAGAGAAATAAAGATAACACACGAGAGGTAAATGCTGTTATACAAACACAAGTGTGATTACCAGTCTGTTCACCATACAGCAGACAACATTTGGAAAAAGTTAGTTATTGGCCTTAACTATTTTAATGCCTGAATCAATGCCATGTGTAATTTCTGAATTCTATTACCTCCATAAAAGGCTGTTTGAAGTTCTGAAGGCAAAGGCCTTGGAGTTTGAGGAGAGCAAAACACTTGCCTTTAGTTCTGGAAGTTAACCTATTGTTTTTTTTGAACACTCTTCTCCTCAGCTGAAAGTTTTATCTTCATTAAAGCCGACATAACATCATTTAACTAACTCATCCACCCACTCAAGTTTTCTTGCACTATGCTCATCATTGCAACAATTACTGAACAAGTCATCTGATGACTTGTCCAAACAAGTGTTCTAGGTAACTTGGAAATATTTTCCAAAATTCATACAACCATAAGTTTATTTTATCCGTTGTGTAACACTGTGAGTTCCACGGGTCTGAAAGACATACCTGAGAAATACTTGGAGAACGGTCTTTAGAAAACATTAAATCTAATGTTACTAGATGGCAGCTACCCTGGGTTTATAGGTTCTGCTTCAGTAATTTCTGAATTATTTAATATGCTCATGCCTTCTTACATTTGCTTGAAAAGTTCCTTCACCATAATTTTCCATTCCCAACTTAATATTGAAATTGGATTTAGAATATCAGAAAATCCTTCCAGACAGAAGTTACTGAACACAGTTTTCTGAATGTTTTTTTTTTTAAATCACTGCTAAAGTATATTAAAAAAAATCCCCACCCACAGCCTGATATGTAGATTTTTTCTACATTTGCCAAAAACAATGGGTAGTGGGGTCAAAAAACAGAAACTATGAAATCCTAAATCAATTTCAAGCTTACAAAACAGAAACTATCTTACTATATTATTACATAATAGTTATGTAATTAATATATTAGTATATATCATATATATTACTATATCACTATAACAACCTATAGTTGTAACGGCATTACCTATTAATGCCATTAGTTGTAGTGCTATCACAGACACTGATGTTGCAATTGCTTAAAAATATAAAGCAAGAAAGAGTACAAAATACCTGGTGAACCTGAATTTCCACTTTCAGAGCCTCCTGTAGAGTCTGCAGCTCCATTCTCTACCTTCTCCACTTTCTCTAGATATGTCTGCTGATTCCAGTGCCTTTAGTTCCTGGTTTCCTCTCCTCACCAGTGCTATAAAAAAAATAAAAAAGTTTTGCTTTAGGTAGGAAAAGACAGAATTTAACTTGAAAAATGGGGAAAAAAAAAAACCAAAACAGAACAGGAATGCTGTGAACTGTATTAAACTACAGCTTCCTACCCTAAACACGTGGAATCTTCCAAACACAAGAAATTTAACTAAGAGCTGCCTTCCTTAGTGTAGTTTAGCCAAATGCACCGCTTCTCACATACCCCAAAAGTTGACATCCTTGTCCTTTATCTCATTTTGCAGGAAACTATTTCCTTCCAATATTTCATTGCAGTTACATATCAAATTATAAAACTACTAAGAATGTTTCAAAAGTAAATAAAGATCTGCACAGACAAGAAAATATTCTTAAGACAATAAATTTGCAACCCAAATGACAATAAATTGTCATTTGTATGTACAGCATTAACATACTTCCACCATACTTTAGAGCTGCGTAGATGGGAGGGTCTGCATGCTATCTGACACAACAACATAACACATTAATAAGGCAGTGCCTAAAGTTTGTGCTGAGTTAGTCACCTTATGTTTTGAAGGAATAGAAGATACAAAACACAATATATTGAAAAACATTAAGTATTAAATCCTCTGCTGTTTCTAGATGGAATTCCAGTAAATAAAAGTTTAGCATCTTTATTTGTACTTCAAAAAAAAAATGAGTCCCCCAACCTCTGAGATGGAAGAATGCTATAATCGGTATTTCTAAAAGCCTTCAAAGCTGGACAGGAGATTTTTGTCCAGAAATACGTTTAAAGCATCAGATTCTGAAGCAGGATCAAGATCCCCATCTTTATCCAACACGCTCTCAAAATGCAATGAAACTTGCCTAAAAACTGGACTAAAAATACCTGCGTTGAGATTTATTTATACACATAAGCATAGAACGCATCAGAAAATATTACATAGCAATCTTTCCATCCAGACATCACACATGAAAGAACTGTTGGAGTGTTAAAGTAGTTCTATATTTTTATCTTTGGAGAACTGTTCACAATTAACACACAGGTATTGTCAGCTCAGATCTTCATAATGGGACTTGAAACTGTCAAAAATCTACTGACAACTTAGATTAGGCACTTAGACAATGAAGGGACAGCAATTCTTTAAGTTAAGAATTTTCTTTTGATGCTGCCCATGCACACAGAACACTGAAGTGTCGGGAGAGTTCGAGTTCCTGAAAATAAAGTCGGAGGTTTTTTCCTGTTTGGTTGGTTTTTAAGCCAGGCTTGTTTCTCTTCGCAAACAGCACCGCATTATTAAGGGAGAAGACTATCAAGGGTTTTATATAAAAGCATGGTATTCCAACTCATTCTTTTTCCACACCATTTGCTGGTACCTTAAATTTACTTATTTAAATAACAAAGGCCTGATCAGACTTTCTAGACAACACTCGAAATGACCTTCTGCAAGGGTCTCTCCTACATGTGGCCCAGAAGAGCTAGAACAGCTGCCTTTGCAGCACCACTCTCCATAAAATTGTAATTTGTACCAAGGGATACATGCAAACTACATATAGTTCCCTGTTCTATTACCACAGACCTTAATGAGAAAACAGAATCCTGGATTAGTACCTCCAGTCACAGGCAAGAACTACAGCACGCATTAAGTCCCCATCACTGCAGTTTCAAAAGAAGCCATGCTTCAGAAAACCACGAGGGAGAGAGACTAATGAAAGCTGGAGCCCACTGCTGAGGCAAAAAGTACTTCATAAGCCCTGGAAATTCCATTTTGAGGTAAAGATTCAGGCAGGCATGAACAAAGTCTCTCAGTGTGTCTGCCATGCACGAGACAGCACTTGTAATAAACATGCTAACTTTAAAGCAAAACGCAAAACAGGAAAAAGCCATCTCAGAGAACATCAGAATTGTACATTATTTTAGCACACACTTGTATAGCCCAGTACTACACACAAACACAACACACAAAGCCTGAGCAACCACCACTGATTCATAAAAAATAATGAAACTTCATTTCAAAGACACCTTCATCAGCTGGAAAGATTTCTCACAACTAATTTTTAAGTTTGAGCAAAAAGCAGCAGTGCTTTGCAGAAGCAGGAGGCTGTTCAGCCTATCCATGTTTACACAGCTGAAGCCAGGAAAAGGTGTAATTCACTGCAGTACTGAGGAACGATCAGAAACCAAAGCAATGCCAGTAAAACATCCATTGCTGACTGGCTCCATTCCCTTTTTTTTCGTTACAATTTCAGATTTTTCTTTTATTTTCATGTTGAAAGTTAACAGATTTTAAGATTCCTTAGCCACAAAATTTTTTAAGTGTATATAAACTGGAAATACTTGTCACGCTACAAAAAAATATCTGTGGAACTCCAATAAATATGATTGAAGTATCTAAAACAAGGCAAGAGAAAAAAAGAGATACATGACTTTTTTTTCCTAATTAAAGTTTTTGGTGTTGTTTTTTAAAAAAAAAAACTGTTGGCTCTCTGTCTACTTCCCAGAGAAGTTGTGGATGTCCCCTCCCTGGAGGCGTTCAAGGCCAGGTTGGATGGGGCTCTGAGCAACCTGGTCCACTGGGAGGTGTCCTTGCCCATAGCAGGGGGTTGGAACTACATGATCTCAAAGATCCCTTCCAACACAAACCATTCTATGACTCCTCTCCTCCAGTGCTCTCACGACAGCCTCAGAGCAACTTGTTTTGCAGAATCATTTACTTCCAGTTACCTTCTGCAGGCAAAGTTGCACAGAAGGACATATTAAGCACAGGGAACAACCTTCTCTCTTCAAAAACCAGGTGCTCCATATGGAAGGAGGAGAAACTAACAGTGCTCCATCAGCAAAGGCTGCACAGTAAGGAATGGTCTTGTGCCATCACCTTCTCTGCCAGCTGCTGCAGACGTCACCAGCAGCACCACTGTCCTCTTTTGTAAAAAAAGGCCCAGGATTGGCAGTTACTGGAACTGTGTTAAATCACAGATAAGATACCACATATTTGGCATGGCATCCAAGCTGAGGCACACATCATCATCACTTTAAATAGGAGGAAAAAGGCAAAGGGTAATAAAGAATTTATTAGGAGGTTCTGAAGCATCCTGAGCATCCAAGCCATTACAGGTGGGAGGGAGTGTGGAGAACACTTTAAATAAGATATAAGATGATCACTTTTAAAATCTGGTCAAGTTGCCAATTTATAAAAATGAAGTGTATGTGGTTGTATAAAGCACTTAGAACACACTCTTGTAGCCTTCCTCTAACAACCAAGTTACCCCTGGCTGAAATGCCCCTGAAGCACCTAAACACTTCGTCAGTGTTAATTAAAGAAGAAAAAAAAGTGATCGTTCTTCATACCTGACAAATCCTCGATTACTTTTTTTCTGTTTTATGTAGAATAACATCTAGAGGGCACCTGGCCAACTACTACCTGTATTTCTTCCAAAAGTAGGTGCAGAACTACCTAGACAAGTGATCACACATTTCTAAGTGCAAAAATCCTCAGTATCCTTGAGCTTTTATTCCTTCAGACTCAGCTTCCAGGGGAGATGTAATAGCTCATGACCAGTGGCATTATGAACTACCTACAATCACCTTTCAGAAAGTATAAAACTATCCCTGGATTAATCATAAAATGTATTCCATTTTCCACTTTACTCTTCTAATGGCAAAATTATTATTTTAATTAAAATTCTTGTCGGTGATTGAAATTGCATGGACTGGTTGGTCTGCAAACAGCCTTCATCCCATTCATTTCTAAAACATGCAAATGCTTCGCTAGTGCTAGAAACAGGGACTTCCAAAGGGAAAAACAGAGGACTGAGGAGCACTTGCATCTCTTACACGTCCAGACATACTTTCAAGTCACAACCAGGAAGAACACTGACAGCAAGACATAAATTTGACGCTCCTTGGATTAATTTCAACTTTGGAGACAGCAGTCCTCCAGTCAGTTTCTTGCTGGCACGCATTTGTTATAAATAATCCCGTATTTCTGATGTGATGGCCTCAATTTCATACAGATAAAGTGCCACAATTCACCTCAGTTAAAGCAGCATGGAGGTTGCATGTTTATACAAAAATATTCAGAAACTGAATGAATCTGAGTCATGTAAAGTGTACCAGCAATTCTCTATTATTATCTCAATTAAAAAAAAAAAAATACAATCCACTGCAATTCCTTAAAATATCATCAAGATACTTAAACTATGGCTACTTTGGAAAGTACAACGAAGGCACAGTTTATGTGACTTATATATACATGTGCACAAGTAAAAATATAAAAAACACACACAAAAGCTATTAATTACTGATCTGCAAATGGAGGGATGCTGAATAATTTAAGATTTCAAGCAAAAGTCTTTCTCCACTCAAAATCCCTTCAGATAAACTTATTTTTGACATTACACAGAAAAAAAAATATTTTTGGATAGCTAAAGTTAAATGTCTATTGTACTTAGAGACTCTCAGGTCCAAATCTCAGCCCCGCAGTGAATTTATTTATAGGACTGAGACTTCCATCAGTAACATTTACTTTTTAAGATTTAATTTCTGAATATAAGAACAGATAGGATTTCAGTTTCAGTAAGCACCAAACTTTTCCAGGAATGGATGCCAGCTCTTCATATCAGCTATTCTTTGGTAAGCCATCCCAGCTCAGGAAAGAAGTACTTACCAGTGTTGAGGAAGTTATTCCCTTCAGCCTTCTACCCCCTCCTACAAAAGAGGAAAAAAAAAAAAAAAAAAAAAAAAAAAGATATGACCAACATGTAAACCTCAGTTTGAAACTGAAAAAGCAAATTCAAAGATTTGGAAAATCTGGGGTCTTCTGGGGTTTTTCTGTTTGTTTTTATTGATGCAGAAAATAAGTATAAAATAACTCTCGGAAAGACAATTTCTTTTCCGTAGTGGGGAAAGCCAAGGAGACCTCTGGTTCTAATAAGGATTAGAATATGACTGATCGCTATCATCAGGGAAATTAGAGATTACAGGTACAAGCTTTCCTAGTCCTGTGCAAGGTCTGTTTGGCTCCCCTGAGGGAAACAACTCTTCTCCATCACTGGAAGATCCGAGCCACAAGCCCTGCCAGCTGTCACAGCTCACTGCAATAAGGTCGCCCACGTTAGGCACGTGCCCACCTCCTGCTCCAGGTTCCAGCAGCACGAATAGGGCAAACCAGGTGGTGAGACAGCACAGCCACCAGAGCTCAACACCCAGAGCACGAGTGTAAACCAAAATCAACGGCAGTTCAAGCTAACGTGCTGGGTCATGAACTGCAGAGGCTGTGAAGATGCACTACCCGATACATGGCCTGTGGATGAGAAGAACACTTAGCAGCACAGAAAGGTTGGGTACTACTTAAATCATCTTCATATGAATCATAAAAACTTGAGTCAGAGTCTTAAAAAGACAGTTAAAATATAAACGATAACTCATTTGCTCAATTTCTTTGCCTGATGCTAAAAAAAAGCCTTCCAAAATACTCCAGTTTTCTAGTAAAATACTAGAATATCAGTCTATTTTAAGCTCTGACTCCACAGTCAGCAAGACCTTTACAGCAAGGTTGCCATCCGCACACATCTCCACAGTGCTGGGTTGAAGCCCCAGCCACGCAAAAAGGAACAGCCACAGCCCATGCTCTGAAAATACAAAACCTTCTAATTCTGCCCTTGTGCAAGTACTGAGTTTTTCCTGGCACCTCTGCTTCATTTAGCAGAGAAGTTTAGCTTAAAGAATAAAGTATCTGTTGAATAATGTCATTCTGAATTTTCAGTTTGCATGGGTTTCTCAGTAAACATCTACAGCAAATCAAAAGTGAGTTTCCTCATAAGCAGTGCACTAATGGGAGCTGTATAAAAACTTATGCTGATACAGGAGAGTCTTCCTAAACAGGGAGACAGAGAAATGAAGAGCAGATATGCCTGCTGCTAACTCCAAGCGTCTTGAACAGGCTCACACTTTCCATTGCTCTTCATATTTTTATAGCATCCTATGTGCTGGCCCTTACAATAACCTGTTAAGTGGTTCAATTTCTATCACCTCCCACATAGAGACAATCGCTTCTCAGTTGTGAGGTAGGATGTTACCTTCTTTGGTTTTGATCCTAGGTCATCAATAACATAAATATCTCTTTCTCTGCATGGTAGCTGAACTCCTCGAAGTCCTAAATTGAAAACCTCTATCATCCATGCTAGTTAAACTATTTTCTTCTTAAAAGGAAGACCAAGAAAAAAGGCAAATTAATCAGACAACCCCCCAAATTTCTCACATTTGCCTGTCAGATACAAACAATCCCCAGATAATTAATTTAGTAATTTTTAAGGCAGCAGATGTAGTGATAATGCCACTTTTGTCTAGTCAAAAGGGATAGCAAGTAGAGATGAAAACATGGTCAAGACAGATGATCTCTACAGGGCATCATTATCTACCCTGAAGGCGCAACTTTCTTTAGCAATAGTAAGCACTGAGCATAACCTTTAATTTCCTCTTAATAAATACATTCATGTATCCTTAAGTTTGCCACACGGCTCAGGAAGGCTCTAACTCAATACAGCTGATGGCTATTGCACAAAGAGATTCCAGCCCTCAGGGGACAGAGCTTCCATAGCTAACAGACTTCCACTTGGCAATAGAGAGCCTAAGTAGCAATACCAGAGGTGTCAGCGCAGCTTGCGCGTTCTTAATAGCAGTCAGTGCTTTGAAATGAAGGACCTGTCAGTCCAATGGCTTATTTCAAAAGTTGAATTCTGCTGTGCTTCACAAAGCCCTAATGAATCAGTGGAGCATGACAATTCAAAACCCAAAATCAAAAACTTGCCAGAAAACAGTTTGCGACCAACTAAATCTGTATAGCCTCAGTTCTCAACAAGTCTATCTGCAGCTACTGGAAGCCAACCCAGAAGAGCATTAATGGAAAAGGTACCAGATAGAATCTGCTTCTGTTGAGCAAATTAGATTGTTTCTCATTCTCAGCAAGACGACATACACAAGCTTGCACCATCTCTTAACTCTCACTACAAAACACACTAGAGAATTAAAATTAAACCACTCGCAATTACACGTATTAATAAAGAAGAGGGGTTTTTAGCTGTTACTTTAATTAAAAACCTGCACCCAACTGGTCCAAGTATCTTAATAAAAAGTAGCAAGTCACATTTTTAAGTAAGTCAACCAGATTTTCAAGACTTGATTGCATATGACCCTCAGCAATCTGAGATACCTACAAGCCTGGCCCTGCTCTGATCTACAGGGTAGAACCAGGTAACCCCCAAGATCCCTTCCAACCTGAATTACCCTGAGTTTATAGTCTAATACAAGAAAGATGCATTAATTTCCTAACTCCTTTTCCTACACGATGGCTCTCTATTTTTACACTCCAGTATGATTTCCAGAAAATGCTTCACTTGCAGCCAAACAAATTTTGATACGCATCTATACACACACTTGAAGTAATAAAAAGATTAAAATAAAGGCTTTTAACCTTTTCAACATTTCTAGACAACGCATGTAAGAGAAAATACACTGCTATTACCAAAACAATCATATTCTGCAGATCAACTTTAATCTGTTTGAAACCTGAGAATACAGAGAGAAGTTAAAGCACAAAACTCCTGCATTCAAGGCTTGGTAGCCCCTGAGGATTTCAGAAGAACTACACATGATGGTTAAATGTGTTTGCAAACAGCACCGGCAGATTTAAGAATACCTAACTGCTAAGTATCTGTACACTGAAATGTTTGGTCACATCAGTAAGACACTGTGGTCTTGAAGTTATACAATAATGCTTATGCTACTGTAACCAGAGACTCATTTGGGAAAAAGAAGTGAGAAATTAACAAATACTTTTAGCCCTTTCCAGTTAGTACCTTCCCTAACTCTGAAAGCTAGCACAGGGTACTGTTATACCATGGATATATAAAGCTCCTGATTAAAGCTACGTACCACACTGATATTTAATCCTCTAACTTCTTTTTCCTTGCCAACAGGACTTCTGACTCGTTCAGAGCACAGGATGGACTCTGATGAAAAAGGACTGGTTGCTGTGCAAAGGAAATTGTGACATCCTCTCACGATTCAGAGCATTTCTTCATAATATTAAGCTTAAATCCTCCCCACCCCTCCCAAAAAAATACACTGCATAGAAGATGTTTCATCTTTTCTGACCCTCCTCTGTCTTTAGATGCAAACTCTTTCAAGCAACTGTATTTTTTTTTCCTTTATTTGAAAGGCGCCCCATATAGAGAGAATGCTATCAGTACATACTGGGACAACAAGTCATAAACGTTACTTCACAGTGATTTTCAAGTTAAAAACAGGAAAACTTCGTATTCCTTAAGAGGATAGGATTTCTATAGCCTCAAGGAAAAGACAGACCAACCAACGCAGATGGAGTAGACGAGATATTTTAAATGACTTAATAACCAAGTGTTCACATTTCAAATATCCCATTAGTTACACAGGTGCTGCCACTTCCACGACAAAAAACACACCTCCTGCCTCAGCAGCCAGGCAGGCAGGTGGCACAGAGGCCACAAGCTCCAGCCCTAAATCAGGGCTCCCTGTCCATACCATGGAACTGGCACAACTTTGAGTTTAAGACACTAAAAGCCTATTTTGTTGGGGGATAGATAGACTCACTTCCTCCAAAACAGTTTAGAAAACCATCAACTGGAGGAGATCCATAAGCTACGTGGCTTTGCAACGTTTAACCCACACATGAATACACAACACCCTCTCCTTTGAAAACTCTCGGTGCATTTCTCAGATCAGAGATGCATATCCTAAAGCCACTTGAAAGAGAACAAAGTTAGCATAAATTCATTCATTGAGGATTAACCACTTAATCCACCTTGAAAATAAAACACTCAGCCTCCCAATTTTTGCTTACATCTACACTCCCCCTTTACAGGTAAAATGTTGCCATCTAAAAAACAAAACAAAAGCAAAAGCATTGAATTTCCAGCAGTAGTACATCCTTCCATAGGATAAATAAGGCATCCATGATTTTAAGAAAAAAAAAGAAGTATATAAAACGAAACTAGAGAATTTCAGAAAGTCCACCTGACCTACGACTATAGGTAAGCATGGTAAAAGTTCATCCTGAACAGCTACCAAGGGCCCCATGTATTTCCCATATAACCCTTCCTAACGTTCAAGAAGTGATCATGAGTACAATTCCTGTTTTTGTGCCCACGGCAATACTACCAAGAACATGAAGCCTCCCTCTGCTCAGTGAATCACTGCTTTCAGCTGAACACAAAACCACCTTCAGTGCAGCATGGCTGAATTCCTGCTCATGTAAAGTTGCATTACCCCAACCTGTACGTTGGTAAACTTCTTTGGTGTTTAGCAGGCATCGTTTATCCACACACACATCAAAAGGAAGCCCCACTTCTAATGAAGGCTAAATTTCTGGTTATTAGCAGTGCAAAACCAAAGCCTTCATTGATGAAGCCAGTAGATACAGAATTGTATTTTATTTTTCCAAAAATTACGATTCAAATCCTAAGGATGACTTTAGGGTCAGATTTTAGACATTTTTACTGCATTCTATGACATCCCATGAAGTTCCTGGAATCGGGCATTTTTGCTCACTTTAAATACAGTTTATCAATTAAACTGTTGCCACGCTTAAAATAACTGACATTTTTTGCAGTTTTAGAACTTGATTTTTTTTTTTTTTTTTTTTTAAGCTTTCAAAACATCTACAAGTATCCACCTTTTTCCCCTTCAGGTGTATGGTAGGTAAATCCACAACAGAAGCCCAGTGTCCAAACGCAAAACGCACAGCCCAGTTTTGTTTCAACGCTTAAAAAGAATTCCAGAGGGGCCTTATTCAGAGTCATCTCGTTTGGCTGGTTTTTTAGATAATATGTCCAGAAAAATCAGTTCACTATCATCTGATTTTCTCAAGGTGCATTGTAAATTCCTCATTCCCATGGTGGAGAGGTTTCTGACTGCCTTTTATAGTCCCACCACTCAGGGCTACTTGGGAAAAGGATATAGGTGAAGGAATCACAGAGAGGAGAGAAAACTATTATCTCGGAAGAACAGCGTTTGATACCGGTTAAACACTAAGGAAATCCAAGTAATTGCTTTAACAACTGAAGACACGGCGAGGAGAAAAAATAAGAAAACTCTGCTTCAGTTCTCACTGTAGTATTTTTCTCTCCAATTCCATTAAGAACAGAGGGATCTCCAACTTCCTGTTTTATTCACTGAAACATGACAGAAAAATTTCATACTGAGTGCCAGCCTTCTTCCTTTTCTAGCAACCCACTTTTATCTTGGACAGAACCGGCTTGCGGGAATTACACATTAGTGAGGCAGAAGAGTTTTGGGAGAGGTCCAGAGTACAACGGGAGCCGATCCGAGGAGCGCTTGCAGGGCTGCGGGCAGGAAACAAACCTGGCAGCATCTCGGCTACCGCTGGCAGCGCTGAGAGCTTCTCAGGGGGCAGCTGGGGGTGCTTGCAGCCCCTGCCTGGGCGAGCTGCTCCTTGAGTCCTGTTGGTCTCTTGGGGGTCATCAGGGGAAAAAAACAGCATCAAAAATAAGCAAATAAATAAATAAATGATCAGAAAAACAGCTAGCAGCTCAATCATGAAAAAGGGCCGTTCAAGGACTCCGGTCTGCCATTTCCACAGCACGCAGTGCTGTTAGCTTCATCTGCCACCAGGGGGAAATGCCAAACAAGTGAAAAAAGTTAGAGCAGAATAATAATGATGAGGAATAAAATTGGAGAGAAAAAAAAAGCAAAAAGTCAAGAAGAAGCAATAATCCTCCCTCTACCCTCTTCCCCCCTCACACTACACATTTCAGCAGTTTGGGGAGGAAAAGGCTCTGCCCAACAGCAGAGCTTTTAGGGAAGTAGCAGTGAAAGTGCTAAAACATTAAACAAGCATTAACCAGAAGCACCAGCAAGCAACAACTAACTCTCAGTTTCAGTGTCAGCACTGTGACTGCAAATCAATTAAAATTTTCTTAGAGCTGGCATTCTAATGAAGAGCAAAGTTTCAAGATTACGAAACTTAGAGAACAGAGATAAAAGAACATGAATTTTTAAAGGACCATCCAACAAGAACGTGTGAATTAATTTATTTAAAGTGAATACATATTTTATAGAAAAAAATCACTCTGCTTTTCAGAAGACTTATTGCATTTATACAGCATCCCGAGAGCCTGGACTTTTTTTGTTGCCGTCGAAGAGATTTCAGAACAGCAGGGGTCCCATTAGACACCCTGTTTTTCTTCTACCTTATAAATACCGCCCGTACACCATTTCCATGGTTACAAAGTATAGCGAAAACTACTTACAGGGGATATCAGTTATGGGAATAAATCAGTATTAAGCATATTTTGATAAACGGCAACTTGTGTGCGACAGGAAACAGGCAATTATACATGGCATTTTAAAATTAAGGAGCATCAAACCGAAATGGGAAAACGTGCTCAACAAAGAAGTTTAGCACACATTTACAGGGTAAGAAAGAGACGAGCTCTGCTATCACAAGGATTTGGAGTTTAAAGCATCACAGGGTGAGAATCACAAGGAGCAACAGGGAGACTCTCAGCAGCAGATTGATGGAGATTAGCTACACAAGCTTCTACTGATGTTACCCTACCACAAATATCAGACAGAAGCTAGGTACATAAGCTATAAGAAGCAAACAGTCAAAATTCAGATGCATTGTGATTAGCGATTATATGGCAGGGTACCTCACAGCAACAGATAATCTCTTACACTTCCATATTTATAGAACGGTTTCAAAATCAGATACTGTACTTTCAGTAAAGCTCCTCTCAGTGTGCCCCTGAAGCCTGCTAAAAGACTGATTCTTCAAGGATGCATGAAGAAAGATTAAACCTCTTGATGTATACTGTTAGTCTAAGTAAATCCCAGTCCTACTTAGAGTTTATGGGCCGTCCTTCAGTTTCTCCACTTTCATTTCACTTACGCTGCAGCTGGCACACTCCCCCATGCAACTGACCTATCTGCCCTGCTCTACCTCCTTCACACTGCTCCAGCTGCAAAATCCCTCCTTTCTGATGGCAGGGAGGCTGTCACACTGCAGGAAGCAAAACGCGTCACTGACTGGCAAGGGGCAGAAATGAGTCTACCTTCTTCCTTCCTTCAGCAGCTGCAAGTCCTATCCTGTGCACACCAAGTAAGAAACCGCACCTTGTTGCTTTTGCTTTTGTTTTAAACTGCTGCAATCAGAAGTCATCTTTCACTTTCTCCACCTTGTCACAAGTACGGCTGGCAAGTTCACTTTGATGATCCAGTGACACAAACCTGTTCTTTTCACTTTGAGCCCAGACGATCTACAGGATGACTCAGAAAAGAGGTATTTGAATCTTGCCATCATCACTATCATCACTAGAGCACTGAAAAGAACAATTCCTTCGTTGTTTATTTTCTGCTAACATTGTGTAAAAGGGTCATTGAGAAAACAAATCATTTTAGATATATTTGCACGCAACCTGTAAAGTTTTTGCTGTGGGTC